CTTCCTCCGGCGGGGGCCGCGGACCACCCCGCTGACCACATTGACTTTGTGGTCAAAGGGCTCGTACACGCTGGTGTGAAGTCTCCGACACGAGGGAAGTCATTAGTCTTCATTAGCAACTTCCAGGAGTTTCTTATGAAGTGCTGTGAAGTTGTCATTTGCCCCCTTTGCCAGGCAAGCTAGATCTGAGGTTTGTTTTCTTATGTGGGGGGCCAAATGTGAGCTCACCCGGCCCCTGTAGCCGGTTGCATGTGAGATCACGGCCACTCCGGAGTTAGGACGGGGACGCCAGACAGGAAAAGGGTTTGTTTTTTTTATAATCTCAGTGAAAATGAGGAATTAAAATACCTTAATAAAATCAGATCTGTTGAGTTCAGAGTCTGAATCCTCTAATCACAACTCAGAGCAGATAAAACCAAATCCTAATCCAGCAGTTGTCAGGTAAAGTCCTTTCTCCTGAGTCCTGCCTTGTGACATGTTGTTTCCAGCCATGGGGCTGCTATCTCCACAAGCCCCTCAAAGTGGCCAATTAAGCATCAAAAGGGCATGCTGCATGGCTAATGTGAGCGAAAGGTGTGAGATTTCTCGTCAGTCTGCTCCGGGGGGCTCTTTATTGGGCTGCCGGAGAGCCGTCTGATCCCCGGGCCCTGGCTGTATATTGGCAGCTGTTAACTGTTGAGCACAAGGGGATCTGTGCAGTTAAAGCAAATGGCCAAAGACTGACACCTGGGAGGTGGAACGTCACTGCTGAAGGTGATCATGGGAGTGGACGCGGGGAGGAAGACCACAGTGGAATCAGACCGGAGATGTTGGGCTGCAGTCCTGAAGGATTCTTCCTGTCAACCCTCATTATTTATTCTGTAATATTCCAGCAGCTGGAGCACAAAAAACACAGTAAAATAACAAATACAGCAATTATCTATACTTAAAATAAGTTTTTGGCTTTAATTTGATGTAAAATCTTGTAATTTTTGGGGCTTTTTAGTGTTTAATTAAAAATATTTCCCAGACAAAAACTGCTATAATACAAATAATCAGCCCTAAATTTACAGCAGAGTGCTATTATTATTAGATTTTTTCTTATTTGAATCTGAATTTTAAAAGTTATAGAACTGTAATAAAAGTCATTATCTGTGTAATAACAGTAATTATTGCTGGACATTTTCACATAAGACATGTAAATTCACAGGCATTTTTTAAATTTTATTAATATTTCATGTTTTGTATTTAAAAAATACAGAAAGAAATCTGTAAAATAAACGCTAAAAACCCGTAAACGTACAGATATTTTCTTACAGTGTACTCCTGGAACCTGAGGAGCCTTCATGCGGTATATTTAGATCTTTTAACAAAATGCTTTTAGTGAGCGGCCCCTATCAGTCTCCTCCAGATGAACTCCCTGATGTGTCAGATCCAAATCGCCCCCGGGGCTGCTGCTGTTACATAAGCTCCCCGCCATGCCTCTCTGCCCCCGGGCCACGTGCTGAGGCCTTTACCAGTCACACCTGTCACCTCCAGACCCAGTGCGTAATGGGATTGACACTGCCGCTGCTGAAATGTACACCTCAGACCTGACACTCTGCTGCTAGAGCTCCAGAGTCCTGCAGAGAATTAACCATCACAATCTCTTTACGTTCCCACCGTTCTCCGTCTCAGAGCTGCGGGACCTCTCGTGTAAGCCCGGGATCCCAAACCGCCAGGGGCCCATTTCTAGCCCTCCGACATGATGTTTTTTGTAATTATTATTGTTCTAGTTGTTTCATATTAATTTAAAATACCCTTTCATACACAATTAAAAACAACAAAGACGATGTAAAATGCAGAAACTGCTCACTAATGGAAATATGTTCAGAATATTGCACTTTCTTGTCGTACTTTAACGTTGAAGTGGCCCTCCTGTGAGATGAAAACACCAACAGTGGCCCCAAGTCAATTTCAGACCCCTGCTTTAAGGGGACCCCCCCCTCCCCCTGCAGGCCCAGAGGAGAGGCTCGAAGTGAGGAGAGCCACACTGAACCTGTGATTAATAACTCCTCGGCAACAATTGGTTTCACATAAGGAGGATAAAAACACATCGCACTTCCTCAAGGCCAATGTTGTTGGGGTGGGGGGAAGGGGGGGGGGGGGGTGCTGGGAGAGTCGGGGGGCATTTAACGCGAGTAAATGATTGTGCAGAGATCTCTTTAAGTGCATCATTACAAGCTGAATGTTATTATCCTTTTTATTCCGCATCGACCCCCGTGCTCTCAGCGGCTCGTCAATATTTTCACAGGGAAGACTCTCTGGCTCTCTTTATGCACCTAACTGCTGATTCTGCAGAGCGCCGCGCTGCCTTCACTGCACACATCACCTTTAAAATGACAGAAAATGTCTTAGAAGTGCCCTTAAACTACATCGCTTCTCATAAACGTCTTGGTTTAGCCTTTAATGAAAATATGAGCTGTTCAGAGGCGAGAAAAGAATCAGTGTTCCCCTTGGTTTATTAACATTTTCTAAACTTTATGATTGATTTATGGGCTCAGTTTTAATGTATGCTGCTGGAGTACGGGGGTTTTAAGGATATTCCTCATAATGCCATCCAGAGTCGAAAGTAATCCCACGAATTCTCCCCAACTTTTGTCCAATCACTGCAACTTTTCCACAAATTTGACCAATTTTTTGTGGTTTCCTGCACAAAAAGTTAAACCATGCGTCACCAAACTCACTTCCTCGTTTGTAGTTGTGAAGCTGCAGACCACACAGACAAGGTTTCACATTTACCCTCCAAAAAGTGCGATTATTCTCACCTGGAGGCGATTTTTAATGAATTATACAAAAGAAGAACTATTTTTTGCAATTTTCACTTTCTCTCACAGTTTTATTGCAACAAAAGGCAACACACAGATCACAAGTTTTCTGAAAAGCAGCCGTGAAATGAGGCCTTTTAAGCCTGTGAAATCCAGGAGGGACTGATAAACTGCTAAGTGGGCTATTGAAGGGGACGTGGGACGGGAGAAAGGCTGAGTAATGAGGTCTTTAACGGGGAAAGAGCACACAGTCGTCCTCAGACGATGGATGTGTCTGTGTTTTCCCTTTCTGGTTCACATTTTATCTTCTAGAAACATTTGCAGTAAAATATAAATATAGTTAAACAAACTACGGGGCAATGGAAAAGAGGAGATTCTGGTAAAAGCCAAAGCTCAGAAACCAGAGAGAGATTAGTACACAGAACCATTTCTAAAAGTCCCAGTGTGCTCCGTTCAGAACTGAAACCCAACAGCAGCGTTTACGGGCTTTCTCAAGGTGAAAGTTCTTCTTTAAGGAACAGATTTTGGTCTCATTAGATTTATAGAAAAAGCAAATAAGACAGAGACTTTATTGATCCCAGCAGGGATATCGGGTGACGTTACAGTTGCTGAAGTTGCTAAACAAAGAGAAATGATACGAAATATATCAAATATGTGCATTATGTTACTATATATATAGAAAAATAGAAAATAAGGCGTGTAAAACCCGTGCCAATGTCTTCCAAATAGCATGAGCATATGGCTAGCCCCCCATTGACAACAATATGATAATACTACCTTATAGTTCCTTACTTTTATTAAGACACCAATAATTAGATTGTATTGTGAAGATAGACAATATAATATCAATATATATAGAAAAATAGAAAATAAGGCCTTTAAAATAAATAAACTGCAACATATAACAACAGTGTTATAAACCTGACTTTGTGTAAGTGCACATTGTGATTTGTATGGAAGCCCACAGTCACAAGTCATTATAACGAGAAATGTTCTCAATATTTTCACATTGGCAGAAACAGGCTTCCATAGATTTGCCCTCCTGGCTGCTGTTGCTGTACACCGATACGGTCTGGGCCCCTCATGGTCACACAGACCATACGTTGTACACGGTCTCCAACCTTTTCATCCACACGGTTCCAGAAAGCGTGTGAGAGAGAGCCGAGCTCACAGGAGCTATTGTATGCACACATACAGAGAATACAATGTGAGTGGAAGTGGTGCGTCTCTGCTAGAAAAGAGGTTGAATGAGATGTTAAAGTCACCTCAATTCAAATTTTCATGTCAGTGAAAACAAAAGTGTGTGTGTGTGCTAACGCCCGCGGTGTTTAGCATTTGTTTTGGCCCGTGGTAACACGGTACGGACGGAGACAGGCCTGTGAATGACATCAGTGGATTCTGCCTGGATGCGGATGGTGGGAGGACGGCCGGGTTGTTGTGGCAGGTCTTTATTCTCAGACCCCTCCTGTCCCATTCAGGGCTGACTTGGGCTCGTGGTGCTAACTGGCTGTTAATTGCCTGCCTATACGCAGGCCTTTCTCCACATGCAGAAACTGGCCCCCTTCAAGGGAAACTAGCCTAATGAGATTATCTATCAGAGCATGGGCCTGTCTAGACACCCCAATACACAACCCCCCCACCACTAACCACCACAACCAGCAGCAGGCTTCAGAGGACGCCCCCCAGGTAAAAGTTACCTGCAGAAAGAGAGCATGTTGTCATTACACCATTATGGGTTTACACAGAGTTTCCCACCCACTGCGTCAGTCCTCTGATGGAGAAAGCTGACATTGCAGAAAAGTGTAAAAGTGAGCATTTATTTAAAGTCATAAAATGTATTTTATGGCATTTAGTTTTAATCTAATTTCAGATGCAAGTGAAGGAAGCTCTGTATTAAGTGTTGGAATAAAGGTTCTACTTTAAGAAAACTCTGCTATTTTTCACCAGAATGCAACACACAAACACACAGGAGGACCTCATTTAAACGTTCCTCTCACTGTATTTCTGTCAGCTGTGTCAGAGAGTGTGACAGTGAGTATTTAACACTTTGCACAAACACACTAAATGTCATTTTGCTGCGTGGTTATGTGTGTGTGAATGATATTTACACAGATTGTGGTGCCGCTGCGAGCCCTGATCTGCAGCAGGGAAGTGCGTCCATATTTGTTTTAAAGTCTCTTAGCAGTTAATAAAGATGCGTTTCCTCCGTCCCCCTTCCTGTGGGGACGGTATCAAGGCTCTGTTAAGTCTCTTTGATTTCCAGCACCTTCCAATCACAGCGGGGCACTGACTCATCATTGTGCCACTTCAAAGCCTGGGAACGGCTCTCTTGACCCCACCCACCCCTCGGCTCTCCTTAAAAGTCATGGTCACCTCTTTCTGAAGGACTCACCAGCTCTGAATTATCTCCTGCAACAACACTGACTAACCTCCTGACTCCCTGAGCTGCTGGATTTCTTGGCTGTTGGTTTTTTTTTACACACAAGGAGCTGAAGAAACACTTGGATTTCACGGACACTTGGATTGATTATTGGCCTTCGGTGCATGAACCTCTTCAAGCTTTCACTGTGCTACAGCTGAACCTGAAGCATGCAGTCCATCAGAGGTGAGTGTTGACTTTCTTTCACTGGATTCACTCATTCACCACTCCCCCGATCGGTCTGTCTTTGTCCGAGAGAGACTCCCCTCTCTCGGTCATGAAGCAAGGCTGTGATGAATTTTATCTACTTCCAGACTTGAAGCCCAACTTCAGCGGCCCTCCTCCCTCCTCCATGGCTGCTGGCCCCGATGCCTATCACCAGGGCAACATCAGGATGACTCTGGAGGACCCCGAACTCTGGAAGACCTTCCATGAAATAGGGACAGAGATGATCATCACTAAACCCGGCAGGTAAGACGACAGAGAAAGTTCCATTTAATGCCAAATGTTTGCATCCTCTGTTGCTGTTTTGCTGATTTTTCTCGCACGCTGTGTTCCAGGAGGATGTTCCCACACTGTAAAATTAACCTCTCGGGCCTGATTCCATGTGCCAAGTACATCTTACTGGTGGACATGGTCCCTGAGGATGGATTCAGGTATAAGGTAAGGCAGCACTTCTTTTTCTCATCTTATTATCAGCCTGTAAAAAGCAGCCTTGACTCACCACAGCCATGGCTTTGGCAGGAGGTATCCCCTCAGTGGTCACCAGTATCCCCAGACAAGACACCCCCCACCCCCCTTCTCCTGACATTGCACATCAAAGGGTGCTATCTCTTCCTGTTTTTCTATCCCCTGCTGGGAGCCCACTGTACTACCTCCTATCTCTGTGGGTGGTACAGCCAGCAGTCACTCTCTCCGCTCTCTATCGTCCCACTCTCACACTGCGGGGAGGGAAGAAGGTGAAGCTCCTTCTGTGAATCCCCTCTCTCAATCTCTGACTGACAATCTGTCTCCTTCCTACAGTGGAATAAAGAGAAATGGGAGGTGGCAGGAAAAGCGGAGCCCCAGCCTCCCTGCAGGACCTACCTCCACCCCGACTCTCCGGCCCCAGGGAGCCACTGGATGAAGCAGTCCGTCTCCTTCCTCAAGCTCAAGCTCACCAACAATACACTCGACCAGCACGGCCATGTAAGTAAGAGCCCTCAAAGTGGAGCGCTTCACAACAATTCTAAATGATATCCACACTACTTTTTCAAAAGGACGGTGGATAATTGAAGTCCTTGGTGGACAAACTGGTAACACTCACAGAAGTGGATACTTGTAAAGTGCTTTAAAACTGAATGAATCACCCTCTCCCTATCTGCAGATCATTTTGCACTCCATGCATCGCTACCACCCACGCTTCCACATCGTCCAGGCTGACGACCTATTCAGCGTCCGCTGGAGTGTTTTCCAGACCTTCACCTTCCCCGAGACCTCCTTCACCGCAGTCACAGCCTACCAGAACACCAAGGTCAGTTTCTTATCCCTGCAAACCGAACCCCCCCCACAGCAGAACATCTGGTCACTCATTATTGAGGTTTTAACTGATTTAATTTCCCCACCAACAGATCACAAAGCTGAAGATCGATCACAACCCGTTTGCAAAAGGTTTCCGGGATGAAGGCACCAATAAAAAGAGGTGGGTTTCACACAAAGTTACACACAGTTTGGTTGCTTTACTTGAAAATATGCGGATTTCCTTAAAGATCCCCTCCAGACTTTTATTAAGATACATACAAATAGTCTGATTTGAACAGTAATCTGTGCATAATTTTCACATTAAAACCCTTAAACAGCATCTACAGCACACTGTATAAGTTGCAGAGTGGACCAGGGTTGACTGTGATGTCACAAATCATGCTCGTAGGCCCCGCCCCTTAAGTATCAGATTTTCAATGAGCTCAGAGAAATTTTCCACTATCAGCAGCTGAATGTGAAAACATCCTTGTAGAGTCAAACTGAACAGACATCGTTCAACCATCACACTGTAGGAACAAGAAGGAACAGTTCTTTCTGATTGAGGGGGGGGCTTTAAGTGATGTATGTAAGCAGTGTTGGTTTAATGAATCTGATGTTCCTCTGCAGACGTGCCAACAAGAGCCCAGCCTGCCTGGAGAAACGAGCCAGGATGTCGGACATCTTGAACAGGGACTCTGAGGAGGACAGTCCACCAGGTACCGTATTCAGTCTCTCTCCCTCCTGATGATGTTTTATCTGTTGTGTCCTTTACTCTTGAAGTTAACCTGATGACTTGCGTCTTCTCAGATTTCTGCCCGTCATCCTACGAGGGTTACGACGGAGAGGAAGTCGACCTGCCCAAAAGGAAAGAGGATGAGGCAGTTAAAGAGGAGCGTTACTCCCCGTGGGCTGCAGAGAAGGAGCACAGCGTGAGGACGGACTCCCCCGCTGGGGCAGACCCCAGAGACATGTACAACACAGAGCAGCTTGTTCCTGCTCCAGCCTCCTACCAGCCGTACAGGTGAATGACGATAAAGTTATGTAGCAAATACGATCTCAGTGTTGTGGCGATGAACAGAACTCTGACCGCTTTCTTTTCCTCTTCAGGTTCCACGAGTACGGAAAGTCTCCCTCGCCGTCCTCCAGCATCGGCAGCAGCAACAGCGGGTCCGGACGCAGCAGCTTTGAGTCCAGAGTCCCCGACGTCGCCACCGTGCCCAACCACGACTCTTCAAAGCCTCGCACACACGAGATCGGCCCTTCCCCTTGCGGCCCCCAGCACCTCCCCACCCCGCAGGACTACACCGGGGTCCTAAACATGACCATGGCCCAGGCCGGCAAGCCCGGGGGGGTGATCGGCCACCACATCTACAGCCCATATGGCGCCGAGCAGCCCCTGGGTCAGTGGGGCGGCCCCGGTCCCGCCCAGTACCCCCCGCCTCACCACCTGACCGCTGACTACACCACGCAAGCTGTGCACCACGGCTATCACCATGGCAACGTGGCTGAGTGGAGCCAGTACCCGCTGTTCTCTTATTCCTGCTGGTGAGCGGATCTTCAGCGTTAACTGACTGAGAGTGACTGCACGGGGGCTGCGGGCCGACCCGCCGCTCACAGCTCTGAGGATGCATGCCCAGACGAGGCTGAGGGCCACAGGACCGCCACAACAACAACAACAACAACAACAACAGCAAAGACTGAAAGATGGCGAGGAGGAGCCGCCTGTTGCTGCCTTCCGCTCAGAACCGGCAGGGTTCAGGCTCCGGTTGTAGGGGACTGAAAGTGTGCTGCTCCATGATTGTTTTACTGTTGAATTGTCTATTTATTTTGTATTTCATCTCATCTCCAAGTGGAAATATTATTTTTGTAAAAGAAAAAGAGAGAGAGTAAAAACGTAAGTGTGCAATTAATGTCTGTCTTCAAATTGTGATGTGATCTGAAAATAAAATCCTAAAAGTGACGTCATCCGATGTCTGGTTTGTGTAAATATTCATATATTCTTAATCTTTTCTACCCATTAATTAAACAACTAATGTAATTTTGGATTATTCACCTTAAATACGGCAAGAAAACAGTTTTATATTTTTATATTTAAAATTATTTTATGATCTTGTTTATAATTAAGTTCACCTCTTTTTTACATCATTGTTCTTATTTCTCACACTTGTTTTCAGATTTTTTATATCTTAAGATTGTTTCTACCATTATTAACTCGATTTATTACTAATATTATAACTATATTCATTTCTTTCATTCTTATTATCGCTCTTTATGTCCCCTATTTTTTAAACAGTGTCATTGATTGGTTTTATATTATATAATAACCAAATGTATCCAAACATAGCTGGAAGGTGTAGATGTATTTCACCCAGCCCAGGTTCTGCATACAGGAAGTGTATTGGACCAATCAGTGGATTGTAAAAGTGTTTGCGGGTGCACATCTGCATGCCGGCCGGCTCTGATAAGCAGCACATCCTCTGGTGCTGTTTGTTTGTATTTGCTCTTTGTTGATCTAATGGGGAGCACTCTGTAGTCTCGACAGGCCCAGCATGCATTAAAGACCTTGTATTACCGTGACTCCAGCTCACCTGCTGAGGTTTACCCACCGGCATCATAAAGCATCGCACGACTCTCGTTCTCCATCTCAATGAGCCTTAAAAAGCTTCAAAATGGGGGGGCTGTTGGCTCCTTTTCATGACTGAACAACACAGGCTGGGTGGATATGAGCTGCTAATGACTGCCGTAAAGTCCAGGGGGGAGTGGAGGAGGGGGGAGGAGGGAGGGGGAGACCATCCTGCAGGAACAGTTGTGGCGGTGTGAGGATTTGATTCAGTGAGATTCATTATCTGGGAGGCTTCCTGCAGCAGCATGTCCGACCTCAGGCTTCCCCAGCTGCACACTGTTCATTTGCTCAGTTTAATGAGGATAAAAAAAGAGAGAGATCTTTACAGGAATCTGCACTGCTGGGCGAGAAGGTCAGTGTGATGAAATTCAAATTCTGAGATGAGATTTTATCTCCCAGAAGCCAGCTTTTTCATTAAAGCCAGTAAAGATAAAATCATATATTTGCCACAGGATATTGCTCGGGACACCATGCATGATAATACATCAGGAGGATTTATCCCCACTTCCTTCAGGGATGTAATCTGTATTTATAGACATACACGCAATAGTTCACAATAGGAAACAGTGATTAAGCCAGTGATGTTCCAGGAATATTCAACACATTGTAACTAACCCCAATGTAACGTTTGAATGGATGAACGGGAAATATACCTAACATTTAAATACCTGGTAACAAATAAAGTGAGAAAAGTCCGTTTAGGCTTCTTTTCCACCAAATTAATTCTGCTTCTTGAACCGGTTCCGTTTAAGATTCTTGGAACTGTGGTGCTATCCAGTGAACCAGCCCTCGTTTCCAGCCGTTCTGAGTGGGACCAAAGTAATCGGACACAAACTGAGGGCACCGCAACACGACCCGTAGACACGCCCACTTTGGTTCCCGAGGAAAACGTTGCTGTTTTTGGTTCCCAACTTTTCAGGATCCGAACTAATTTATTTTTGGTCGAAATCCTCCGAACGTTTGAAAACGAGGTGATTGACAGCCAGCTAAATATATTTGTCTTCAACACAAAAAGGATTTGTTTTAGTCAGTGTAATTCTGAAATGAATGTTTTTGTTCTGTTCACTGTATATTGTATATTTACTGTAAAACAATTAAAAGCAGGGTCCCGATAAGATGCAGGTCCTCTTCACTAGTTTGTTGTGGCTCCACAATTTGACAAAAAAACCCCAATTCTGGTCTGTTCTGGATTTTATAGAAGTTCTTTGGATGTATAGAACCTGTTTAAAGTCCACTCTAAGCTGCCTACATCGCCTACACGAATATAAATGTTTAAACTTTTGTCAATATGGACGTGATACACATTGTTAGATCAGTTCAGTTCTCCATAACTCGGTCCTTCAGTTCAAACCACTGATTTGTTATTCGATAGAAAGTAGAGAGAGAGATACGAGTACAAGAAACGACTCCAATCCTGTGCGTCATCAAGGTTCAGTTGTGCCTCTCTTCCTAAGAGCTGGTTAATCAAACCATGGTTCTTCTCCCTACAGTGCCTAGCAATGGCAGAGTCCATGTTCCTAATGGCCGCCTCGTGCTCGGCAACTCTTAGTTTAAGATTACATTTGGTTTGGTCCACATGAGCAATTTAAACTCTTCATTAGAACAATCTACTTCCTTCACTACAATCGATATCTACATGTTCTTTGTTCAAATGTCTCTAATAAAGATTCTTAACACATCTCAGTATAATGATGACTAATGAATCTTCTATGAAGCCGCCTGGAGTTCGGTGAGGATTCATAAAGCACACACGGAGATATCGTCTCTTCACAGTAACTGAAATATCATTTATTTATCTACACGCTCCGCTTGACTTTTCCAACAAAAAAAAAAATGTAAAAAAAAGGATCAGACACACACATTTCCTTGAGAGCGCTGTGGTTGGTTCGTTCTCCGCCATCTCACTCACACACAGGACATCTCAATCACCTGCTGAAAGGCGACCAATCAGCGCCCTGTGACGCCGAATCCAGGAGGAAGCAGGTGAGTGAAAAGATAAGTAAACACAATGATCACATTTCTTTGTATTTCATAAATCATTATATCATAAATTAACTCAAAACATCCCTCATACAGGTCTCAATATTCCTCCAACCAATGTATTTATCTGGTAAAATAATGGCACATTTCTTTCAATATTTCAGTGTTTGTTTTAAAAGATGATTATATTAGAAAGGGGAGGTGTCTTCATGAGCCATTTTAGGCCTCAAACATCTCCTGCTCGTTGCTCTAAATAAAGTAAATTCAAATATGTATAAAGGTATGAAAACAAAATGACAACTTAATTATTGAAATGTGTTCAGTAAACCAGCAAACAGTCAGCAGCTGCATTAAAGGGAGTGTCCGTATATTTCAGGGCTCACTTACAGTATATCTTTCTTTTATATGGGGACATTTTCTACCTCCAGATGCTGCTACACTGATGAAATGAGATGAGTTTTGGCAGCCAGGCACTGATTGGCCGCCTGGTAACCATGGGCAGGTAACCAGGTAACCATGTTACCAGGCAGCCAATGACAATGCCTCGCTCTAAATGGATTTTAAATCCAACTAATACCTGTTTTTTTTAACATTTCATCCATGGTTTTGTTTTGAAGGAGGACATTACTTCAGAAAATATATTTATATGCTGCTGCACTCAGTCGAGACCATAGAGCCACATTTTATTTTCCTTATTTTAAGAGTAAAACTTGCACAACTTGTTGAGGAAGTCGTCGTTTCCCAATGTTGGAAATGAAGCAGCTGTTTAGTTTTTCATTGTTTTAATAAAGAATCATAAAAAAAAAATGTTACCGTTGCTTTCATTTAAGGCAAAGTCACTTCTTATTATGGTAGTATGTTGTTTGAAGAAATTGTGTCTTATTGTAATCTCTTTTTTGTGCTAATTATTGATCTTAGATTCAGGTACAAACTCCAAAATACTTATTTTATAAAATCTGTCTTAAATAACTGAGTTTTCATTGCTTGTAAGGAGCACAGTTCTTTAAACAGTGGCATTTTTTCACATTTTAAAGCACATTTGGTCCTTCAGTAGCTATATTTTTATGTTGTTGCAACCTCACTCGTCCAGGAGGAATATTGTCCATCACACAGTGAAAAGGAACCTTCCAGGCCTCCATCCACAGGTGACTTTCTTTGTTCTCTATATTGACTTATTGCCAAACAAGCTGGCCGAGGACCTCCTCCTCCTCTCCCCACACAGCAGGAGAAACCAGAATGAAAGTGAGCACTTAGTGAAATTCCCTGGACACGCACACATCCACTGGGTTTAATCTGCATAGCTCCACATCAATGGGTACTGTGGGCCTTTTAATTGCTCTGATAACGGTCGGAACAAAGAGCACCACATCGACCTGCACTCAGATGCCCGTAAAGGCTCGCTGACGTGGTTAAGTGCACGCCATACGTCTTAAGTATCCCCCGGATGGTGCTTCAGCTTCAGAATGAAAAGACTGGCGCATAAACACGGCAGATTGTTGATCTGGATGTCCAGTGCTGGTGTCAGCAGATCCCCCAGCAGACAACTTGGTGGGGGCCGGCACATCAGTGTGAAACAAAGGAGGGATGGTGGAGGGGGGGGGGGGGCGCTCACTTAGGGCTGACGAGGGGGGGGGGGGGGGGTAACAGATGTAGATGAAACAGCCTCAGAGAGGAAAGCAGCAGTCAGCCTTCATAAAGCTGATGGAGTGGAGGGCCAAATGGAGAGGAACTGGTAGAGACTGGGTGGAATAAAGGCTCTGACAGACAGTAGTCTAAACAAGGAACACTCTCATTCATATTTAAAGATCCCCTTCAGGCATACACAAGTAGTCTGCCTGCAACCATCAATGTTGGATTTTTACGCAAAAGAAAATAGAATTTACACATTTAAATCCTTTAAAAAGTTATTCTGCCTCTTTAAAAAGTCCAGACTCTATAAATATATACAAATGTTCAGTTTTCCTGCTGAACACAAGACGTCTCCTCCTTTACTGTAAAGTCCATCCTCAGTGTGTGTGCACTGGTGGATGTCACTGTGTACGTTGAACACTGGACCAGGTATAACTTCCTGAACTATTTGTGATGTCAGAAATCATACTCGTAGGCCCCGCCCCCTTAAAATCTGATTTTTAGTGACATCAAAACATCTTTCTAGAGTCAAACTCTGCACAGACATCATTCAGACATCCCTCTGGAGGAATGAGAACAAACACTGTACAATCTGTTTGTGAATTTGAGTGAAAGTAACTCAAGTATTTATTGTTACGGTAACTCGCACCAATTCCAGTCAGTTAATTAAAGATAAAACTAGTAAATATATTATATATTACACTCATATGCAGCACTTCACCAAACTTATTTAAAATGTGTTAACAGAATTTATCTGAATAAACTTAAATGCATATTCTTCATACAAATGAGTTGTTATAAGAGGTATTATACTATTATTTTTGGTAGTATTTTTATTATATTAATATTATTATTATATTTATATTATTTTTAAGTAAAGTCAGTCTGTACAAATCATCTTATATTTTACAAACAAACCAGGTGTGTTACAATACAATTGATATTTATTTTTAAATTATTGTTTATTTGTTAATGTAGCAAAGAATACAGTGAGCATGTACTTAGATTACTATTTCCATTTCCCCCCATATACATTATTTATTGTTATGATTTACAACCTGATGTTAAACGCACTGATTGAACTGTTTGTGTTCACATTAGCACACATGGAAGAGAGGAGGAGCGATTGTTGGATTGTCGGTGTGAACGTCGAAGTTTAGTTGAAGCGGACTCCTGGAACCGGCTCCGACACACGGGAGGGGCCCGCTCTGTCTTGGACCAGGTGTAGCTACCAGATCTGGCCCACATGTGGACCATAATTCACTGCTGTATCTGGGCCTAGACCCCTACTAACACACACACACACACACACACACACAGGCAATATATTACCACTTTTATTAAATTTCAAAATGAACAGGATACTAAATTTGCATATGTTGTGTAACAGTGTGTTCTAGTACAGTGCATTTTTTTTTTGTTCTTCTTAAGACATAAACTCTCATTATATGAAAAAAGAAAAGTACATTTAGAACCAGACTTTGTTCCTGGAGGAGTCCACTGACGGAGAGACCGAGGACACACAGTGGAGGGACTCTTAGACGCCTACATTACACGGAGAACTGAAGCAGGAGCACGGAGCACAGCTCAACCCGGCTGATTCTCAAAGGACCCTTCATTGTGCTCTTTGGATTGAGATTGAATAAATTATACAGTGTGAAAGGACAGAAATAAGATCAGGACGTGGCAACGTACTGCGACAACCTGTAGCACCAGTGCCTCGTCGTTCCCGTACGAACACAAACCAGTCCAATAAGAGTCTCCCCAGACAGAGCGTGATATCAGAGGCACAACACCGAAGGCTCGTCTCCTTCCACAGGCTCCACCGGATACAGGAAAATACCACAAATATCACCAAAAACAAGGCACAACGTTCAACAACTTAATGATCACTCAGTAGTTCGGACGCGGACACCACTCCATTATAATTCCCAGCTTTATCAGCAGCTGCTAGGGTGGAGATGAGACGTGAATTAATAACAGAAAAAGTTTTAATTTAGCTTACTGCCTGTAAATCTCCAACACATAAACCCCGTTCAGAAGATCCCACACAAACCTACAACCCCATATTATCATCCATATTATTGCATAGCCAGTAGTCTCCACTCCTCTGTGATCAACAGTGCAGAGGCAGGTACAGGGACAGGAAGTGATGACGGGTTAGCGGCAGACAGTAGCATTAGTATCTGAGCAGGCGGGGGGGTTCATAGGCGGAGCGTGATGGTCTAAAGAGATTATTTTAAAAGGAAGCAGTTCCTGAATGACACTTTGGTTCAGAGGCACTCAAAGTGGGCAACGTGCATGAGAGGACACGATGCTGCCACCACAACACTCCTCCCCAACGTACCTAAAAGTCAACATGCAGCGTACGGAAAGTGCACGAGCCTCCAGCGCTCAGACGTTCAGTTCAGCGAGGCCGCTTCAGTCGTCGCTCGACTCCGAGTCGTCCATGTCCACGTCCTGCCAGGAGGCCTTGGTGCGCTGCTCCCAGCTCCTGGCCTGGGAGATCACGGCGGGGGGCATGAG